CACTGGGGATGGGAGTTAGCCCAGTGGTCAAATAGTCACACTAATTGTGAAGAGGAAGCAGAAGGCTCTGAAATGATTGCTCAACCCCTGTTGGCTGGGCATTTCCCTAGCATCCCAATGAGAGGGATTTGCTAATTAACAGCTAAAGCACTCTCAGCTCATTGCTGATTTTATACAGCTCTGCATGTAAAGAAGTTCACCAGCTGTCATCCATTAAGTCAAAAAGTCATTTGATAAATATTTACTGAACACCCACTCTGCTTGAGGAATATGGAGGAGGACAAGACAGATAGCATTCCTGCCTTCCAGAAGCTCTCATTCTAGCAATGGACAATGAAGAAGTCACTAACTAATTATCAATGCAGTTAATCCAGGGTGTGGTGGCAGTTATGAAAGTTTGTCAGGTGAAGGGGAAGTGGGGGAAATTCTGCCAGAAAGAGTGGTGTAAAATGGGGCTTGCATTTATTTGTTTGTTTATTATGTTTAGACAGTATCTCACTATGTAGCCCCGACTGACCATATACTCACAGAAAACCCCTTGCCTCTGCTTCCCAAGTGGTAGAATTAAAGACATTTGTCACCATGCCTGGCCTAAGGCAGGGCTTCTTAAACTTCTTTCTATTCACAGTCCCTTTTCACCTGGGAAATTTTTACATGACCTCAGATATGTAGTTATGTAACATAGGCATAATAAACAAATAAATAAACAAACAAACAAATAAATAAATAAATAAATAAAATTTTTACTGTCAATAAATGATAAAGTATTAATTCGTGTGAGTGTGTGTGTGTGTGTGTGTGTGTGTGCCTGTGCCTGCACACGTGTGTGCCATGCAAGCACCCAGCACAGTACTGGGAAAACAGTACTAGAGATGAGAGTCAGATGTTCAAGGCCATCCTCTGATACATAGTGAGTTTAAGCTCAGTCCTGTCTCCAAAACAAAATATGTTTTGGTTGAATATTTGATACTGCAGGTAGAGCATGTTGGACATGCTCCAGAGCTAATCAACATTCTGACTGTATAACTGACAATGCTAAGAATGCCTTTCCACATACATTGCCATATAAATAACAGAAGTATGTTTCAGCAATCTCAGAAACTGTTAGGAATTTCATCCTAATCCCAAAATCAAGTTCATTGAACAACTTTTAAATGATACTCCAGCAACTCAAGTAGCAATTTTTTAAAGCCAAATATTACAACACAAAACATTCTAAAGTTATATTAATTTGATATTAGCATGGTAAGGAAAAACTTGGTTTTCTGCTATCAAACCACTTTGTTCCTATTAGGGGAAACAATTATGAACATCCAGCAAAAAAAAAAAAAAAAAAAAAAAAAAAAAAAAGCACTGCAATTTTAGCATGCAATAGTCTGCATTCTGAGCCAGGAAGTGTTTGTGGGTGTTTTATGGTATGATGGCTCATGCATTGAGCATGAAGTTTGCATGTTGTGTGCTTCAAATCAAGACTATGGGGAAGTCTTGATGCAACACAGATAAGCACTGGCAATAAGCCACAAATTCATTATGAGTCTGATTTTCAATTAGTTTTACTATTGTCAATTTTTTCATGATCACCACATGAGTTACATTATCCCATATGTGGTCCTGTAACTGTAGTTCTAGGGCCTTAGAGGCTCTTTTCTAGCCTGAGGGCACCAGGCACACACACACACACACACACACACACACACTCAGGTACTCACAGGAAATTAAAAAAAAGAAGTGGATGTCTAGGGCACTTTGAAGAGTGACGTCTGATTCACTGAGGTCTATATGGAGACAGCAGTGTCGAGTGATGTGTTTGGAGCACAGGGAACAGCAGGTGTAAGGATAAAAACTGGAGATGTACCTAACTCCTGGAGGGTTTGTAGACCTTATTCTCACGGTGTGACATGTGAGAGCAAGCTCTAGGCACTTGTTTCCTCGTGGAGCTGTAATAGAAACCCCTTGTTTTGTATGACAACGGTAAGCGGTATAGCAATAAATGAAAAGTGTTTTATCCTCTTGTAAAACAATCTGTATTCTGAAACTTTAAAAAGTCTCATATTTCACATGCTACCAGGTAAACAGGATAAAGGTAGAAGAGTCTAAGGTGGGTGCTATCCCAATTCCCTTTTTCTCCTGTGGGCTGGGAGCAGGAGCCTCGAGGTCTGTGTAGCAATGGCTAGCCTTGAACTCACAGAGACCCAGCCATGTCTGACCGCCAAGCACTGGGATTAAAGGTGTGCACCACTCCTAATTTGAATGACAACAATTGCGATCTAATGTGAAAGAGACATGGACACGACTTGCTAGTGTTAAGACTTGAGGTTGAAACTCCAAATTTCACTGTATGAACGTTTTCCTTAGTACATCAAGGGTACACCGTTTCTAACAGACAAGCACTCAAACTGTCAAACAGCCTGTCTCTGCTGGAATTAAAGGTATGTGTCACCACAGCCCAGCCAGTATTGTTTTGTAAAGTGAGTCCCTGACTTTCCTCCCCTGAAATGTTTCCTGCTTAGTTTTCCAACTAGCTTGAAGCTCTTCTAAAACCTGATTGAATAGCAATTCAACTTGAACCCAACGTTGTTGACACTAAATGTGGAAATCAGTGGGACACAGATTGTTACCAGAGGGAATTGCAGACTCTTGTTCAGAGTGCAGGGTCATGTTTTGCTGCATAACCTCAGAACTTGGCAGAAGGTAGAGAGGAGAGACTGGCCTTAGACAGGAAGTGGAGGTGGGACTTTGGCTTACATACCTGTTGCCCACACTGGCTCACATGACTGCCTCATAGCTCTGAAGGGAAGTAATGAAGCCTGGGAAGGTCAGGTATCACCAGATTAACACTGGCAAATCCTCACACTGGTACCATAGTATGGCCTTTGTAAAAATCAAAGTATACACTGCAAGGACCGGAGTTGCCACAGGCCACACCAAGACCAAGTTCTTAGCACAAAGGAGATTCCTTTGGCCCAGAGGGACAGAGGGCAGGGAATAAGAGACAAAGACAGGTAGAGGATGAAGGAGAAGAAGAAGGGGTATTTGTTGAGTGAGGTGTGAAGGGGGGTGGGTGGGACACAAAGGACAGCCTCTGGATGGAGAGGAGACAGACAGGTCCCATAGGCGAGTGGCAGCTTATAGAGGAAATGAGTAGGTTTGTTTTGATTGGCCATGTTAATTAGAACAGCCAAAGGGGACTCCTGATTGTTGGACTTCAATATTTTGATAGCGGAACCTTGATGGTCAGCCTTAGGAAGAGGAAGTGGCCAGTCTGTAAGGGAATGGACCTTGGTGGCTAGCTTTAGAAATGTGATCTATGGTGTAGGAAGGAGGAGGGAAGGACAAGGGCTGCCAGAGCCATGTTTGCCATGCTCTGGCCTACTCAAGCCCTTCGTAGACCCCAGGTCAGGTCAAAATGATTAAAATGTGAAAAGATGTGACTGTCATAAAGGATGGACAGTTTGGACAGTTTGAGTCAGTCAACAAAGGAAGCAGACAGAATGCCTTTCAGTGGAGTTTAGGACCTGGAGGTGGGAGGAACAGCATGAGTCAAAAACGACATAACTTGTAGAGCTCTAGAGCCTGAATGAAAGGAGAGGCTTCCCTTTAGAGCCGGGAAAAGAGCTTCATTAAGAATATGAATGAAGGGGCTGGAGAGATGCTCCGTGGTTAAGAACACTAACTGGTCTTCCAGAGGTCATGAGTTCAATTCCCAGCAACCACATGATGATTCGCAACCATCTGTAATGAGATCTGGTGCCCCCTTCTGTTCTGCAGGGATACATGCAGACAGAACACTGTATACATCATAAATAATTTTTTTTAAAAGAGAGAATATGAATGAGAGAGCAATGAGGAGAGACGGACAGGAGGGTGGGTGGGGGAGGCAGCTAGAGGCAGACCTCAGAACATCTTTCCAGCAATGTCCCTGAGGAGTCTCACACCAAACCCTTGAATAAAGGAAAGTCCAATTTGTACAACCTTCTAGAGGTGACAGCAAGTTTCACATCCCACGATTTAGCTCAGTGTGGGCTATGTGACAAGGAGCCAGGTACCATAAACTAAGAAGAGCTGCCAAGTCACTGCACAGACTGCTTCATAACTCTGTCCTAGAGACAACTGTGGAGAGGTGTGGCCTGATTTAGTTTATGGGATAGAGTTTGAAGGTTCTGTGTTCTAACAATGGACAAAGGGTTTTGTTTTTGTTTGTTCTTTTTTGTTTCTTTGTCCCCAGGATAGTGGAATAGAGATTAGAACGACTTGGAGGAACTTCCAGGACAAGGAATGCATGAAACCACGAATTTAACCAGATTTTAACTAGAAGATGAATTAGCAGGTCTCAAAATGGCAGGTTGGTCTTGAGTGGGATAATAAAATCAATAACCTTAGTAGCTTTATCTGAGGGCACTCCTGGGCCAGTAGTTTGTAAGTTCCTCCAGTTCCAGTAAAACAGGTCAGGCGATGGTGGTGCGTGCCTTTAATCCCAGCGCTTGAGAGGCATAGACAGGTGGATTTCTGTGTGTTCGAGGCTAGCCTGGTCTACAGAGAGAGTTCCAGGACAAACAGGGCTACACAAAGAAACCCTGTCTGGAAAATCCAAGAAATAACAAACAACAACAAACCAGAGTAAACAAGCAAGAGCATACATAGAAAACTTTCTCTCAGATGCCAGGCACACACACTAAAAGACATGAGAAAAGATGGTGTGTGCGTGAAGATGTCAGCCTTTCCCTAATAGCCTAGTAGCGTGATTTAGGCAACTTGCTTAATTTCTTCTAAACCTCGCTTATCCTTCTGTGTAGGGGGAGCGGGGCACCTCTTTAATACAAATTCGCAGTCTTTAAAGACCTGAGCTCAGAACTGAGCTGACAGCGTTTGCTTTTGTATAGGGGCCACGCCCCTCCTGCATACTCATCTCTGATTGGCCCCCTAGGAGGGGCGGGACCCTGGCGGCCTATAGTTATCCCGGCAGGGTTAGGTTGCAGGGTAGGGACTCTGCAGACGCCGCCATGGCTCGCAAAGCTCTTGGGCCCGCGCGCTCTCTGCTCGCTGCCCTTCTGGCTCCGGTACTGGTGGCACTACTGGCGTCGCCGGCCCTGGGTCGCGGGGGCTTGGACCACGGCGACTGGGACGCGGACAGGCGGCTACCCCCGCTGCCACCCCGCGATAACGCGCCGCGCGTGGCCCGCTTCGTGACGCACGTGTCGGACTGGGGCGCGGTGGCCACTATCTCCACGCTGGAGGCGGTGCGCGGCAGGTCCTTCGCGGACGTCATCTCATTCAGTGACGGTCCCCCGGGCGCAGGCAGCGGCGTGCCCTACATGTACCTGAGCCCGTTGCAGCAACTAGTGAGCGACTTGCAGGTGAGCCTGAGCGCCGTACGGTTCCCCGGCTTGGGTACTGCGGGGCTGGCAGTCACAGGCAGACCAGGGAGCGAGACACGGAGAGCGTGGACCTTAGAGATAAGAAGTTTGAACCCAGCTCAGATGAATGTCCCTTTTGGCCGACGCTGACTAGGAGACTGTAGCATCCCAGATGTTGGGCAACTACCAGGAAGTTCCTACTTGCCCCCCCCCCCCCCCCCCCGCTACTGTTCTAAACACTTGGACTGTCTCTGCATGAACTGGGTGCTTGTTATTTAAAGGCTTTACAAAATTTACAGATTGTTGGGTAGGTTAGCATTTCACTTATGTGACTTCAGAGTTTCTCTTTCCTACCTCTCTAGAACTTTCTTGTCAGGAGTGGGAAGGTACTATGAAACATGGCAGACTATGGCAGCGTTCTTTGGACTACTTAAGTAATAGTGGCCTTAGTAGAGAGCAGGACTTTGAAGGGCTGGTCCCGCCTCGTCCTTTGCCTACTCTCTGGGACCAGGCTAAGCTTACAGCTCTGGTGGAACACAGCCTCGGAGGGAAGAGAGCCGCACAGGTGCCTAGAAATGGAGGCTGACTTGGTGGAGGTTTTTCTGGCAAAGCCAGGAAGGCACAGTGTATTGGTAAAAGTGAGATGAGAGAAAGTGACATTTTGATCAAGCACTTGTGGTGTCATGTGCTGAGAAGTTTCACCCATTTCCATGTATTGTCTTTTGGAATAGCTCTTAGGAATAGCTTTGACTATTCCTATCTTATGGGTGATGACATGAGGTGAAGTAATATGCAAAGCCAGGGGGCCAACCCCAGTTCACTTCAGATCCACCTGTCTTCAAAGCAAAGGCCACAGACTGGGACCCAGGAGTCCAGAGGCCAGTTTCCATCAGCTGACACAGAGTTCTGTTTTATTCTAAACAAATTTAAATTAGTCACTGCCTTTTAAAGCTGCAGTTGTAGGGGCTGGAGAAATAGCCTGTTGGTAAAGTACATGCCATGAAAGCATGAGAACCTGGTTTTGGTCCTCATTACCCATGTAAAAAGTGACGTGAGATGACACTTGTGACCCTCACAAGCCAGGCTGACACTGCTCCCTGTCCAGCCAGCCTGGCTGAGTCAGTGAGCTTCAAGCTCCAGGGAGGGACCTTGTCTCAAATCTCAAAACAAGTTGGATGGCTTCTCCAGCTTCTGGGGAGTGACACCCAAAGTTGACCTCTGGCCAGAGCATACGCTTATTAATACATGTGCACCTGTGGTACACCTGCACTCTCTTCACACATAAACAGGCACACACACAGACACCCTGAAGTCTGTCCAATCACCACTGTTGAGGCAGGTCCAAGGCAAGATATCTCTCCACAGGAAATGATCTCCAAAGAACCAGTTCACACACTAGGGATAGATAGAACTTGGATCCACTGCCAGTGATCCCACAAACTGCCCAAGCCATCCACTGTTACCTGCATTCAGGGGGCCTTGTTTAGTGCCATGCAGGTTCTCCAGCTGTCAGTCCAGAGTCAGTGAGCTTTGTTTATTTTTTTAATTAATTTGTCTAAAATTTTAAGTGTCTAACTTTTCATTTAAAAAAAAAATCAGAAGATCTAGCAGCCCTGGGAGCAGGGGTGGGATGGTGTTTTCTGAGAAACAAAAAGATTAGAAGGCACAGCGTCCTCCAGCCTGGATATATTCACCCCAATTGACCACGTCCTTCTTCCCAGCCCACTTCACTCCTTTAGGCCTCAGCTGTTCACACACGACCTCCACTCGAGCCGTGGGTGGTACTCCACTGACCCGCAGATCACTTAGAAGACCTTTAAAATGCCCTACCAAGTCACTTTATCCTACACAAACCCTCTCCTCCCTCAAGCCCTCACTGATGATTCTAACAGGAAGGGGGCAGACTGAACATCACTGCTACTAGTTTCTCTGTATTTATGAGGTGTCTAGGCAGCCTTGGTAACATCTTCACTGAAGAAATGAGGGTTCTGAGATTTTGAGGTGGGAAGCTCGCTTGTGACCAACTAGCTAATGGCCATTGGGTTGGACTCCAGTGAGAGGTGAGGAACCAACCCAGGGCTTCAGGTTCAGGTTCCTGTGATGGCATTGAGAATTCGTGAACATGTGGGGGGGGGGAGGGCAGGGTTCTGATGGATGTTGACTCAGCCAATTAACCAGCCAAAGTTGGTTTCTGCTCTGCTTTTCTTCTTGCCTCCACGCAGAGTCTCTCTTCATGCCTTGCCGTTAGGTTAGAAGAACAAGACTCAGGCTTGAGACCACTTCTCCCATGTAAAATGCCAGACATCTCCCTCAGAGACAAGTTGTGAGGTTTGAGTCTCTTCCTACTGGGATGTTCCTCTATCTAGTTTTTTGGTGTGCAATGTTTTTGCATAATACATGTTTATAGGAAGAATTTGTTGATGCTGGTTGATGATATAGTACCAAGTTGCGCTGTAGAAACAGTGAATCAAAATTGATAGAGAATGCCTAGGATGCAGGAAGCTCTTAGCGGTATCCCAGTGTTGCATAAAGCAGGCTTGGTGGTACAGGCCTCTATAGTCTCAGTATTTAGGAGGTGGGGGCAGAAGGGTTAGCAGCTCAAAGTTATTCTCTGCTATCTGGTGAGTTCAAGGCCAGACTGGACTATATAATGTCCTCTTTCAAACAAAACAAAATCCTTTTATCATTTCTTCCTTCTTGGCTCTTCTCTCTTTTGATATGACCAGGTTATTCCTGATTTCTTTTGCCCTTTGACCCATTAAAAACAAGTCAATTTCTTACCCCCTTGTTCTCCTGACACTTGGAATATTATATGCACAGTCATGGTTTTCTTTCTGCTTTAGGATTTACTTCCACATTTATGTTCATGTTGGACTCACCAGAGTCTTGTATTTCTGATTGATTGCCTTCATTTAGTTAGTGTCTGTCACATAAGACTCCCATTTCTCTCTTCTTCCTGGAAACCTGCTCTCCTTAACCATCAGTGTTCTGGTTTGTGGAATTGTTTTCTTAATAAACATGTTAGAATTCCCGATGCCTCTCCAAATCTCTCTGGTTTTCTTCTCCTTCCTTTGTTTCCATCTGCTCCTTCCTCTTCAATTCACCCTGTGCTTAGGCCAAATCCTCATCACTTCCTGCTAGAAACTGTCTGTGTGGACCACCCTGCCCACCAGACTTACAATAACAAAAATGCAGCATGCCCAACTCACAGGGGGCTTAACAGATGCTGCTTAAGAATCACCCAAAGTGTTTATCACTCTGGGTGTGGGAGCTGGGGAGGTGACTCATCAGGAACAGAGTTTGACAAGTTCAGATTCCTAGCATTTACATAGAAAACCAACTGGACTGTCTGTAGTCCCTCTGCTTGGCAAGAGGAGACAGGGAGTTCCCAGGACAAGGTAGCAAGTTCCAGGTTAAGCAAAAAAAAAAAAAAAAAAAAAACCCTCCTGTCTTAGTAAATGAAGCAGAGGTTGATCAAAGACAACACCCAATGTCATCTGACTTCCATACCTACATCTGCCCATATACATGGGAACATACACAAGTGCACACATACACTCAGACACAAACATATAGACACACATACACACACACACACACACACACACACACACACACACCAAATAGTAAAAGAAATAAAACTTTGGGTACAGACTGGGACCAGGAACCATCATTTTGACAAAATGTAGGGGATTCTGGAAAGCACTGCTTGAAGGATGCCTGCAAAATCCAATCCAGACACCTGAGCTTGGGTTTGAGCCATGCCCAACTCCTCCCAGCCCCTCCATTCCTTGGCTTGCCCTTATTTGGCTTTCTCTATAACAGCTGTGGTGTCTTACACTTTCCCTGTTGTGTGTTACACAGTCAACATTCCCTCTGCCTTAGTACACCTTCCTACTCCTGTCCTGATTTTGGTTATGCCTGACTTTTCAACCAGATCTGAAATCCGAAGGTGATAAATCTTACCTGAGCTCTCTCCCTTGTTTTTTTTTTTTGGGGGGGGGGGGGCTGGTGGGGTGGGTAGGGGGAGTTCCTTTCCTTGTCTTACAGATTGAAGACAGCAAATATTTTAGCTAGAATTAAAGGCATGTACCACCATGTCCAGCAAGATTGACTTTACTTTTAATTATGTGTCTGTGTGGTTATCTGTGTGTGAGTGCCCATGGGCCAAACATGGGATCCCTTGGAGCTGAAATTACAAGTAGTTGTGAGCCACTGGATGTGGGTGCTGGGACCAGAACTTGGGCCCTGTGGAAGAGCAGTACATGCTCTTACTTTTTTTATTTAACTTTATTTAATGTGCTTTGGTGTTTTGCCATAGGTGTCAAGTCCCCTGGAACTAGAGTTCCAGACAGTTGTGAGCTCCCGTGTGGGTGCTGGGAATTGAACTCAGGTCTCCTGGAAGAACAGTTGGTGCTCTTAACCACTGAGCCATCTCTCCATCCCTTCATGCTCTTACTTTTGAGCCCTGTGTTTCTTCCTTTTTCCTGGGAGTCTCTGGGGCTCAGTGTTTTTGATGGGCCATTCTGAAATAGGAAAGTTCACCCCCAAAACAATTGGGGTGAATGCTGTTTGCAGTAATCTAGAATGATGCCCCATTCTGGAGAGAAAGGATTTAGGAGTCTTTCTGCCTTTGTGTTTGGAACCTGAGTTAAGAATTCTCTTGTAGAAGCTGGAAGAATAAGCAACGCTCCCTTTTTAAGGCCACATGACAACTTCTGCAGTCAGGAGATAACCATGCAACATGATTCAGCCGCTTTCTTGTTTAAATTATGCAATTAGGCTGTTCAAGCAACTGTGGTATTTTTGTGCACTGTTTTTTAAATTAGAGTTTGACCCTGTAGATATTTCAGTGAGGACTGTCACCAGTTAGTTCTGTTTGGGGGATACTGTATTTATAATTCTGATAATTATGGGACAGATATGCTAAAACTTTCCCTATAGTTTGTTTATTTAAAACATGACACCTCTCCACAGGGATCAGGACATGTTTCCTACCATGGATTCTTTTCTCCTAGTTGGAGGTGACTTACAATTCACTGTTTCATGGAAGTGTGATATGAGAGTATATGAGAGGCTTGTGTTATACTTCTCCAGAAACTGCTTTCACACAAAAGGATTTCCATATTTCTCTGCAGGAAAATCCACAGGCTACACTGACACTGTCTTTGGCACAGACAGTCTTCTGCAGGAAACATGGATTTGATCCCCAGAGTCCCTTGTGTGTTCATATAATGCTGTCAGGAACTGTGACCAAGGTAAGCAGTGACTTCCATGAAGAGAGATGGGCTTGGAAGAACACCGTGGTATTAGAAACAAGAAGGGATCCTTGGAGAATAACATGCAATGGATTTGTCAGTGGGTGCATAATAAGAATATGTTCTAACACATACACAAGAACTGAAGTCTTTGACAGGAATCCCTCATGTAGGTGTCCAATAGGGCTCTTAAAGGGCAAAGGATCTATGTTCTGAAACCAAACAAGTCACATCTAGAAGGCTCCTGTATAGAAATACTCTTGGTAAGACACATCTGCTCATCTAGAAACATTGCTCTCTGATTTCATGTGGGCTCCATGTCCCTATGTTTGATACCAACACGAGGCGTGTCTGTTACTACTAGAAATGCATTTGGACAGTTTGGGATGGTTGCTAGAGAGAAGAGTTTAAATAAGATTGATAGTGCTGAATATGCTGATGCATGCCTTTAATCCCCAGCACCCAGGAGGCAGAGACAGGATTTCTGTGAGTTCTAGGCCAGCTGGGTTTATACATAGTGAGTTCCAGGACAGCCAGGCCTTCCTAGTGAGACCCTGTCTCTAAGAACAAGCAAAACAACAAAACAGAAAAATATCTACAGAATGCCAGGTGTCATGTAAACCAACCTTATTGATGAGCCAGCAGTTTGCTTTCTGGCCTTTGAGACTTCAGATCTGGACATTCTCCATGGGTCTCCCTGTGGGTGGTGTCCTTGACTGACAGGAGCAAGCCAGAGAGTGACAAATGCTCTTGGGTTCCATTGTGTTACTTCTACACATGCTCACCCTTCACACACATGCTTTTAGCATGTGCGGATCCTGGGGTGAGTGGGATGGTAGTCTCCTACCCGGGTGACATCATTGATGAACAGCAGCTCCATCCTTATAGCGGTTTCTGTTTTGATGCTTGGGTCGTTACGAGTTTGAAGTTGTTCTCTGTTTCCTTTGAGCTTCCCATAAGCTCTTAAGATCAGCATTTGAAACTGAATATGTTGGCAGGTGGGGATGTGGTGTGAGGAGCAGGCGAAATGAAAGTGTTGGACTGTTTCTCTCCTGTTTACCCCTCAGGTGAATGAGGAAGAAGCGGACTATGCAAAGAATTCCTTATTCCTTCGACACCCTGAGATGAAAACCTGGCCTTCCAGCCATAATTGGTTCTTTGCTAAGTTAAATATAACCAATATCTGGGTCTTGGACTACTTTGGTGGACCGAAAGTAGTGACACCCGAAGAATATTTTAATGTCACATTGCAGTAAGTAGTTATACACTGTTCACTTTGTCAGCTTGGCAGCCCTTCCAGCCTCCCGTATGATGTAGACCCTTTCATAATACAGGATCCCCTCTCAAAATAATAAAACACATAGGCACACTAAAGAAGCCAGGCATAGTAGCGTATGCCTTTAATGCCAGCACTTGGGAGGCAGAAGCAGGGGAATTCTCTGAGTGCTGCAAGGTGTCTATGATCCAATATTAAGCCTCTCTGTCTACACAGTAATCCAAATCAAGTCGAATTAAGAATTAAAAGTCCAGGTTTAATGAGTAAAATGCTCCCAGATGATTTTTTGGCCCCCAGAGAGGAGATTGGGCGACCAAAAATACACATGGCCTGTCCCTAGGAGGAGCTGCCTCTTGGGCTTATTTTGAAAGGGTGCAGGGTTTGGAGAGAGAGGGGAGGGCACGGTGAGGTGGAGCTTCCACCCAAACAAGTTCCAGGCCAGCATAGTCTACATGGTGAGTTTTCGGACAGGACAGCCTGAGCTACACAGTGAGATTTTTGTCCTTTAAAAAAACCAAACAAGGGCTGGAGAAATGGCTCAGTGGTTAAGAGCACTGACTACTTTTCCAAAGGACCTGAGTTCAATTCCCAGTACCCACAACTGTCTATAACTCCAAGATGTGACACCCTCTCACAGACATTAATGCAAGCAAAACACCAGTGCACATAAAATAAGAATAAATAAATTATAAAAAAAACCAAACAAGCAAACAAACAAATAAAAAACAACCCAGCTACATAGTAAGGTTGAGACCAGCCTGGGTTACATGAAACTGTGTTTCAAACAAAACAAACAAACAAATAAGGGGGAATCTAGCAATGAGCCTGTAACTCTCAAAGTAGTGAAGACTAAAGATTATGTGGCATTTACCACAATCCTAATTATAATATGATTGGAAAGGATCATTGAATTCTTTATTGCCGTTGGAGACAGTCACAGATACAATGTCACCTCTGAGATTTGTCATTGGTAATCATCATTGAAGGAATAACAAATTTCACTTGGAGCTCAATGAAAATGGGGAAAAGTTGAATTCAAGGTATAAACCCCCATGAACTCTACCTGGGGTCTGGGCTACCAGGTTGAGGCTGTGCCTGTCTGGCTACAGACAGACGTATGAATGACTTGGGATGACTGTGTTTAAGAATCGTCCTTGTTGTGCTGGAGAGATGGCTCAGCCGTTAAAAGGCTAGACTCACAACCAAAAACATAAGAATCGTCCTTGTTGCGTCCTTGGTGTGAATCTCAGCATTGCGAAATAAAAATAATAAAATTACCAAAGGCTGGAGACATAGCTCAGCAGCCCAAGGTTTGGTCCCCATTTCCGTCTTGTCTGAATGTGAAGGAGAAGCAGGCTCCAAAAACAGATTGGGGCAGGAAGAAGGGGATGATCTGATCTGGAGTGAGGTCAAGGATCAGGACAGAGTGTTTCCTAAGTGACAATAGGAATGTCCATATATATGACACCTGCAAGCCTGAGAGGTGACAATAGCAACACTAACAATAGCAGCTAGAGTCTGTTGAGCGTGTTTTACTGGTCCATCTATGCTAATCCCTACATGTGATTGGCTTAATTTCTCACCACACCTTTGGGAAGCAAACAGTAAAGGCAGCAAAATGGAGCGCCTGGTTGAGAAATGTCAGGCTTGCTTAATGCGGTTCAGCCAAAAGGTGGCGGTAGTGAGATCCAAACGCGGCATCTTAACTTGCCCCTCCAGGTTCACTTTCAGTTCTTCCTGATTGTAATGACTGACAGCTCTGTAGGGAGATGGGTGAGGATACTAAGGTAGATTTATATGCCATACCTGAATGAAAATGGGTGCAGTAAAGAAACCAGACTAGCTGCTCCTTGGGTGAAAAGGGAAAGTTTATTCCAAATGGCCAAGGCTGTTTCCGGAGAAAGCAAGGAGAAGCGACACGGAAAAGATTTCTAGGGTTAAACGAGAGTGTGGGAGAAAGGGGGCTTGTGAGCCGGGGTGGGGCTTGTGAATCCGGACTAAGGGAGTTTAGGGCTAGCGCTGACTTTGTCAAGTTCATAGGCCCCGCAGTCCTATGTTAATGGAAAAGCCACAGGTTCCTCTTGACTCCCTTTTTAGCAAGCAAGAACTTCAAGTCCCTAAGAGAATGGTGGCTTTTGTCTAAATGCCCTGGGGGAACGGACAATGCCCAGTTTTGGAGCTTAAATTCTTAGTGTTTAAGTATTCTGTCTTATTCTATTAGAGAACAGATGGGTTAAACTATGTAGCCCCCACCCCTGGGATTATACATTTTAGCAGCAAAGCTCAAGATTACATTATTTTCTTTTTCCTGTGTTCTGAGCAGAGCTAGGGTAGTGCATGACCCCGCCCCCAGCAGGTGTTGGGGAAGCAGCTCCTGATTGGCAGCTGATTGAAACAAAGACTTTCAAATGGCATAAGTAAAGAATCCAGCATTGATTTTGCTGCCCTGTGTGCGGGAGAAAAGACATGGGGCCTTTGACCCTCCTCTGTGCTGGCCAGGCTTCCCCCGTTATAGGACTGTGGAGGTAGCAATTTCGAGATTATTACCCGGCACCACATTATCAAGGAGAGTGACAGCAAGAATGATGGGCTGCTCTTTGAGGTTAGAGTTTGCCTTCCCGGGACATCACAATCGCCGAAGTGCAGTTATCTCTGTGTAAATAACATGCCCTGGGCAGTGCTTACTTTAATAACAAAATAAAATTATGTTTCCCCATAAGTCCCTGCTCTGAGAGAGTAAAATAGAGGCCCCCACGCTGTTATGTAGACTGGTAAGTGCTTTTCTGCAGTTCAAAGATAAGATAGAACCTTTGGTCTGGTCCTGAGGGGAGAATGGGAGACCAGGGCCACACATTGCCTGCTGTTACAGTACTAGGGAAGAAAGGAAAGCACCTAAAAACTGCCCTGTCCCCAGGTACCTCTGGCCACTGATTGCTACTTCAGTCTGTGAGTGAGACTTCCTTCTGTCTCTGTATTGTCATTTGCTCCCAGAACCGTATCACAGTCCAGGGAGTATACTGTTATATCTGTGAGGACCAGGGTCTGCACATTCTCAGGAGCCTCTATCGGGGCCCTGGTGGCATTCTGGGGTTTCTCTGTGTGGGGGCCACCTTGCAGGGCTTGCCCAGGTCTGCGGTAGAAGACATTTGTCTAAACAGCACAGAGCCTCTGCCTGCAGCCGATGGCTGTGACACTGCAATGATGTCCCAAGAAGTTGTCCACACTGGGACCTGGAGTTCAGGGCTGACAGGAGACCTAACAAAGTGGTTTGTGTCACTGGGTGGCTGGACCAAGCCCATCTGCTAATTTGCAGGTCGAGTGAAGGTTTGAAGGACTTCATGATGTGTTTGCTGACATCCTGTTCTCAGGAAGGGCTGGACCAGGCTTCGCTTTATCACTGTCTCAGTCAGATGTCTCCAATCAGGACAGAGGCAGGGATTTATTTCCTAGTTGGATGTTTATTCCAGCCAGGACCGGAAGTCAGACAAGGTCACCTCCCAGCTGGGCCCAGTATTGTTAGGTATTGGCCAGTCACTTCTCTCCTGTTTTAATGTAATATTCAGGACCCCCTTTGTTTTGTAAAGGTTTCTGCTCCCTCCCTCCTTTTTGAGAACCTTATGTGTGTGTCCTAGGCTAGTCTAGAATTCTCTATGTAGCCAAGGCTAGCCTTGAACTCCTCCTGACTTGCCTGCCTCCACCTCCAGAGTGCTGGGATTACAGGTGTGAGCCACCTTGCTGATTTCGTCAAACCCGGTTTTGTGAATACTAGACAAACACCCTCTCAACTGAGTTACATCTCCAGCCCTGTTAGTTTGTTTTTCATTTTAAATCTACAGGAATTCTTTTTAAACCAGGTTCTGAGGACAACGGGTCTGTTAGCATTTATCCTGTGACATCTACTGAAATGTCAGAATCACACATGGAGAGCAGAGGAACTTGCTAAAAGATTACTCTTGGTCCCTGCCTGGCACCTACTAAAGCTAGGACTTGGGGGTCCCTGAAGTTAACTTAAAACATTAAACTTTTAGGTTCTGAGTTTCTTTAGTCTTTACTGGGAATGAATGAACTTTTCCCCCCTTTTTTGTGGGGGGTTCTCTGTATTGCTTTGGAGCTGTCCTGGAACTAGCTCTCTAGACCAGACTGGCCTCAAACTCACAAAGATCCACCTGCCTCTGCCTGCCTAGTGCTGGGATTAAAGGCGTGAGCCATCAACACCCTGCTATAAATGAACTTTTAAGACTGTTCAATCCAGCTAATGTGATCATTGTTTGTCTCTTTCTCTTTCCAGCTGAAGCAGAACACGGTGAACCATCCCACACCAGCAAAGAAGAGTCATAGATGGCTCTCGAACTTAAAGGACTTAACAGTGTGTGTATCTTCTCTGGGCTGTCAGTGGACTCTGCTGCCCACCGGTTGATTTCATCTGCTTGCCTGTCTATAGAATGTTGTTGGTCCTAAACTGAATCTCTTGGAAGATGTGGTTGCTGGATTTAAAACATGTATTTTCAAGCCATTTTCATAGGAAAATGCCATTTATGATAATCAAGGATGTTTTCTTTCATATGTTCCCAGTGGTTTTTCCTCAGTGAGCACTGTAGACCAGGTGTAGAGTGCCCATTGGCACTAGAGGGTACAGAAGTCCCGGTGCTTTATTCCTGATGGCCACTGTGCCTGGACAGTGCCCCCTCACCCAGCTGCCTCTAGAACCTGTGCAGAGGGTCCTGGAGTGCCAAGGCCTGGAGTGCCTGTGTGACCCCTTCAGACATGGAAGGGATGAACCACAGAACAAAAGCATCTTCTGTAAAACTCTCTAAATGTCTTACATTCAAAAGTCATAGTTACCCAGAACCAAAGAAGTAAAAACTATTTCCTGTTTTCATTTACTACCTAAGTAGACACCAGATATTCATTCTTCATCATTCAAACCATATACACATGGCCTGGGGGGGTGGGGTGCAGCTTGCTTGATAGAGTGCTTGCCCAGCATCACGCCCAGCATCACCGGACCCTGGGTCTCATCCCTGAATTGAAACAAAGTAACAAAAACCAAAACAATTTTTTTTGAGTGAAAAGAAGATTGCAGAAGGAAAGGAATTTGTCTATGTTGCATTCATTTTTACAAAAAAAAAGAATTAAAATAATTATAAGAATTAATCCTGGCACCAACCATAGCTGGAGCCCCTTTTCTGCTGTTCTGTGTCTCGAAGCTCCTGGTGGTACGGTCTGACTCATCCCTCTGTGGGAGACAGCATGGTAACAAGGCATACAAAATGTTTCTGAGCTAGAGGGCTGACTTGGTATCTAGGAATATAGACTGGTCCAGCAGAGGAGCCGGTGCGGTGCGGGAGTCAGGCAGTCACAGCTGCCCAGAGCTGCAGCTCCAGGCCATCCAAGCCCACAGCCTCCGAGGGCACCTGTACTCATGTGCTCTCGCCACACTTAGACTCTCATTTAAAACGTGGCTTCAGAGGAGGTGCTAGTTAGCTTCTGTATTCATGATCTCGATGACATAAGATTTTTTAAATAAGGTGTGGGGTATCAAGCCTCTGACCCTTTCAGCAGCAAGAAGTTAAATATGAGCCATTATGTTGGGGAAAAAAAAAGATGACAAACTTAACAAATCCAGCAAACAACTTCTCAAGGAAAAAAAAAATCATACTAAAGAGCCATTCAAACTGTTAACAATTTAGCCTGTTCTCAGAGATACAGATGTTTGTTACAAAGCTTCATATCCACGGCTCAAGCAACACTCTTATTTAGCCACACTCTTTTTTTTTTTTTTTTTTTTTTTTTTTAGCCTTTACTGGAACTCTAAACCAGACTGGCCTCGAACTCACAGCGATCTGCCTGTCTCTGCCTCTCGTTTGCTGGGATCAAAGGCGTGCACTACCACCATCTGTAGCCGCACTCTTAAATCAGACACTTGTTCCAGAGCCAGGAGAAAATCACGTCCCCACTGGCAGAGAGCTCATCATGAATTTGGGGACTGTCTGAATCTAGGCTTTGTCACTGGTCCTTGGGTTCCAACATGCTCTGTAGAACTGGGTTGAGGGCATCTCCCGAGTTTTCTCTCTCTGCCCGCTTACCGTGAGTTCTGTTTTCATCATTTGGCACTGTGGAAAAGCTATCCATATTCAGGTCAGATCCAATTATCCTTCAGGGCGAAGTCAGTTTTCACAGCAGGCTCCACACATTCTCTCATAATTGAACTTGTAGAACGTCACTGAAGCGTTCTGAATGTCCACAAGGGGGCACCATAGTCTACTGTTCAAGCGGATCCAGGTTGTGTTTTTGGGTTTTGCTGAGGGTTTTGTTTGTTTTTCTCTATTTCTTAGTGTTTCTAGACTGTGTAGTTCAAATCTATGCTCCTCTAGCCTCAGATTCCTAAGTACTGGGATGACAAACACATGCCTCTATGCCCACCCAGCACAGTGCCAGTTTCTCACATAGGTATGTTAGCCAAATGTCAGGGTGTGCCATGATGGTGACATCACGTAGTAAAGGAAATTCAGCAAGGGCAAGAGGTGAGACGAAGGCCTGGCCTCATGCAGCTGCTGGTGAGTTTATGGCTTTGTCGATTCCTTCACACCAGGAGCTTTGCCTCGCCTGCTGCAGACAGAGACTGAGCCCCAATCTTAGCTAGGATAAGGTATGAATGAAAGCCATGGCTCCAAGAACAAGCAGCTCCTAATCAAGGACATGGTACTAAGAGGTCATGGCTTCAGAGAGTCCCTGAAGCTGCAGGGAGCCCCAGTGTATTGGGCAGATGTTTCCTGGCCACTGCTCTGACCAAACCAGAACCAATAATCAGATGAATCTGTCTTTTAGTCCAGGTTCAAAGCCCTTGGCACTATGGGAGGTGTGTGGATCTATTGTGAACCGAGGCACCAACGGTTCAGGGAAACAGGAATGTTGTGATGAGATTGCCAGGATCTTGTGTCTGTCTTGGTGGTATTCAGACCAGGAATCACAAGGTAATTGAGGACTACTCTCCTGTAATGGCACATTCTGTAGCTGTTTTAGTGCTGAGAAAATGACACTCTGTGGGACTTTATTGGCTGGTATTTTGTGGTGTCTTGCAAACTCTTCAAAACAGATGTTCCGTGTTTCTGAAAGACAAATGGCAAGTTTAGAAGGAAGTCTGGGGCAATCCTGTCCTTAGTTACTTCCTTTGTCTTGTAGGGTGCAACCCTTTCCTTAGTTACTTCCTTTGTCTTGTAGGGTGCAACCCTGTCCTTAGTTACTTCCTTTGTCTTGTAGGGTGCACATATGAGAGGGAGGGGAGGAGGGAGGGGTGAGGAAAGTTCAAGGCTTATAGACCCTATAGTTTGCAGTTGGTTGTTTTTTACATTTTGCTCGTTGAGAGCCCCACCACTCAGCTCCCAAATAATTGCACAGGGACTTACTCTTTCTTGTGAATGCCCAGCCTTAGCTTAGCTTATTTCTTGTCAGCTTTTCTTAAATTGTCCCATCTACCTTTTGCCATTTATTTATTTATTTATTTATTTATTTATTTATTTATTTATAATAACTGCCTGGCTGCTTCTGGGCTTTTACCTTTCTCTTTTTCTGTATATCTTTTCTTTCCTTCTTATTCTGTGTCTGGCTGGGTGGCTGGGTTGTGGCCCCTGAAACCCTTCTCTCCCTTTCTTGCTCCTCTAGTCTAGATTTCTCCTTCTATTTATTCTCTTCTGCCTAGGGTTTAGCTCTTTATTAGGTCAATCAGGTGTTTTAGGCAGGCAAAGTAACACAGCTTCACAGAGTTAAACACATGCAACACATCTTTGCATCATTAAACAAATATTCCACAGCATAAATGAATGTAACTCATCTTAAAATAATATTCTACAACAACAGTGAGCCTATTTTGTGGCTCTTTCCCATCTTTGATGAACTGTTGAAGGATCATGCTGAGCACTGACTGGGTATCCCAATGCTTCCACTCTATCTTGAGTTTGTTATGTTCCTAGAAATTGCTTACCATCTTCACAGAGCTGCTTTTCTTTGTTAGTTTTAATTTCGGCCAGCAATTCTGACAAAGCACATGCATGCTTCATAGTTGGGGTCCTGGTCACTCCTGAATAAGTAGCACTGTGTCTGGAAGTGGAGGGCCATCTATGACTGAGCCCATGTCCCGTGTCTGTGAGCAGGATGTGTCGTTGGCCAAGATTGCATCCTCTGTGCTTTCTAGGAGATGGGGGTGGGAACCAGGAGGACTTGGAGAGTTTTGAAGGGGATTCCTGGAAGGAGGCCACCATAACTGCCAGGGCCAGACAGAGCAGCCACGCATGCGGGTGATCACCACTCTGGTTTACTTCTTCTCCTTAGTTTCTCAACATTTTGGTTATGTAATTCCCAAGGATGCTGCACAGTGTATTTAGGGGTTGGTACCAACTAACAGCCATGTAGCCAAATGTCACAAAGGTCACACTGCTTGCTCTGTGTCGAGTCCCATAGCAGGAAAGGCTACTGTGGTATTTAAATTGGCAAGTTTTAGGCTGCCAGTAATATCTAACATATACAGTAGTAGTTTGGGCCAATGAGATGAGTAAATGTATTAGCCGCCATGTCTGGTGGTCTCAGTTCAATCCCTGGGACCCATACAGTACGGCAGAATGTTGTACTGTGCCTGCCAGGAGCCATGGCGTATGCATTCCCCACCACACACACACACACACACACACACACACACACACACACACACACTCGTTAAATAAATATATTAAAAGTTTTAAAGTGTTCTGTCAGCTGTTTTTCCTCTTTGTGAACTGTCGGCTTCTGTTCATTGATCAGTGGTCAGTCCTCTGGGAATCACTTTAATTTATTTTCTGGTAGCTCTAGGGGTTTGTCAACACTTGATAAAACTGTTTCCCATTTAAATTATTTTAAAATCAGTAGATTTAAATTTTTCCATAAAGCAAATTCACATAATTGGATATTTTCCCCTTAATGTATTTAATTTTCTTTAAATTTAGTTCTTTGCCTTTGGGAAATTTGGTAAATGTCAGTTCAGGTTTTCTTTCATTTTTATGAATTAATTTTTCAACCTCAATTCTTCAGTCTACCTAGAATTTTCCTTGTGTGGAATGTTTATCTCTTTCCTAATGACAATCTCGAGTGTCAACCAGCTAGCTCTTTTAATCTATTCTGAGCCCAGACCTGCCTACGGGTCTTTCAACAGCGGGACAGACATTAAGTTAGCACTATCCGCTCAATCTGCTTACAGTCTGTGGGGCAGTCTAGTCTAGTGATACTCTTTAGTCCTCAGCTTGGGCCTCAGCACTGTTGTTGGTCAAATTCATGGCTCTATTAAGGTTCTCATAGACTCAGACTTTGGAGGGTGTTTACTACATGCACACATGGGCTCACACTCCTTAGCTAGTCTCCAGTCCCTTCCACAACAAGCACTTAGCTGACTTTCCCAGCCCCAAGTGTGTGGTGGCATGTGCACAGTCTCTCTCTCTCTCTCTCTCTCTCTCTCTCTCTCTCTCTCTCTCTCTCTCTCTCTCTCACACACACACACACACACACACACACACAAATAAATAAATGCAATTTCAAAAA